CTATGCCTCAGGACTTTGACATGGGGAATGGTTTCCCAGGAGAAGTCTGGACTCCTGGATTCTGTTCCTTCTCTAGCCTGGAGCGGGAGTGTGGCTTGGGACAGCAGGAGGGAGCTGCTTGTCCAAAGTGACAGGTGGTCTTTGTGACTGACCCCAGTGCTGGAAAAGGAGGAGACTCCCCTTGAGGGTATTGCTTCACCAGGGATGACGAAGGGGAACGTTGGGAGCAGATGATGCAATGAACTCCTGGCAGTGTGTGTAGATTGCACTCCCTGCACCTCTGTGGGGGGATGAGGAGCTGCTCTGGCAGAGACAGGGATGGGGAGGGACAAAGAGGCTGGTTAGTGAGAGGCTGCCTTGAGCCCAGACTCACGCCTGCTCCCTGCTCGGTTCCATTCTGGCCAGGCTCCTGATGATGTTGAGGAAGAAGGCTCTGCAGGTGGCCTCAGAGCCTGAGGGAAGCAGCTGCCATCTTCCGCAGGAACAGAGCGGTCCCTTTGTCCCCTCTGGCGGGGAAGGAGTTCCCGGCCGAGCCAGGAGGTGGAAGCGCCCAGCTTTCTGGCAGAGGAAACCCGCTCCCGGCATAAGCGCCGAGATGGGAGGGGCAGAGGCGAGGCCGAAATGGAGCTGTCCCAGGATGCGGTTGGGCAGGCAAGACTCAGACAAGGAGGGGAGCCGGGCTGGGTGGCTCTGGGGTTTGTTGTGTGGGAAGCACGGGCCCCAGGAGCCCAGCCCTGATTCCCAGGAGGAGGCATTGCCCTGCCCCATCACTGAGGACATTCCAGCCTCCCCAGGGGAGAAGGTGGTGGATCTCTGTCCCAGCACCAGCAACTCAGCCCGCTCCCCATGGGACAGCAGCAGCACCTGGGAATCAGGAAGCAGCGAGGCCGAGGTGCGCCACTGCTTTGTTCCTGGTGGGGAGCCAGGCTGGGCTCAGGGAGGGGTGAGGAGGGGGCTGTGAACACCCTGGGCCCAGGCACTCGACCAGTGCTGTGGGGATGGATTCCCAGCCCAGGTGTCTGGCTTGAGCCACACGAACCCCACTGATACTAGATGTTGCCACTTTGGTCCTTGATGCTCCAGGTGGGGGTGGGTGAGACACCACGGAGGGAGTCCAGGACACTGTGGGGTAGGGAGGGTCTCTGGCTAACTGGCTCTCTCTCCCCTAACCCCACTCCTGGTAGGTGCAGGATGAGGCCCAGCAGCTCATGTTCCTGCATGCCATCCACCCTGCGTGTCTCGCAGCACAGCAGAGAGAGCAGGACACATTGGAGCCGCACTACTGCAGGGCGGCAGTTGTAGAGATTATTGTGGTGAGTGAGACACAGCGCCCAGCCACTGGAGGGAGGACAGGGGAGGGGCAGGGGTCCGTTTCTCACTGTGCTGTGGGGAGCAGGTCCTGGGTACTAAGGCTCTGAAGAAGCTCTCAAGGACAAATTTTTTCAAATAATTTTTATCAGTGATTTGGGAGCAAACATACAATCCCTGCTGATAATACTGTTGGGTGACAAAATATTGGCAGAGTGGTAATTTCTGATGAGGAGAGGGCAGTGATACAGAAGGATCTGGCTCATTTAGCAAACTGGACCCATTCAAAGCAAAGAAATTTGACCAGAGCCAAATGCAAGGTCCTATAGCTAGCAACAGGGCATGCCAGTCACACCTCCAGAATGGTGAAGTGTGTCGAGGAAAGCAGTGACTCTGAAAGGGTTTTCGGGGCCATAGTGGAGAAGCCTGTCAACATGAGCTCCCAGTGTGATGCTGTGGTGAACAGGTCTAAAGCCATCATTAGACGTAGGAGCAGAGCCGTGAGTAGGATAGGGAGGTGACAGAGCATCAGTGAGACTGAGATTGGAATACGGCATCCGGTTTTGGTGTCTTCATTTGAAAAAGATGTTGAGACCTTGGAGCTGGGGCAGCAAAGAGCCACCAAATGTTCTGAGGGCTGGAGAAAAATGCCTTCTAGTGAGCTATTGAAAGAGCTCAACCTGTTTAGCTTATTGAAAGAAGATTGAGAGGTGACTTCATTGAAGTGTTGCTGAGTGTAGCATTGGAAGCAGTCCCTGATGTTTTACTGTCTAGCCGGCTTGCTTCCCAGAATGAACCCTCATTGAGTGGGGTGATCCACAGGGAGTAATTCAAACTTCCAAAGTGTCTGGCCAGCGTCAGGAGATTAGCTGTGCAGGGGAGGGGTGGTTGTGGCAGTGAGATCACAAAGGCCTTTTGCAGGAGCTCAGCCTATTGGTCAAAGGTGATGGGGAGGTGGTGACCTCACAGAGAGATGCTGACATCAGCCAGGAAGGACAGGGGTGCAGGTCCAGGGAGACGTCAGAGATCCCTGTGGCTTTGCTTCAACAAGTCTCCTTCTTGAGGTCTCTCTTTGAGGACTGAGAGAGTATTAGGGTTCACGTACGTGAGCACGAGTAGGAACCTCTTTGAAGTTCCTTTTACTGATTTTACTTGAAAACAGACGTCCCTGTTGAGAAGGTAAGAGCCTCTGAGAGGTTTGTAACCTGTTCATTCTGATCCATCTGGTGCCAGCTGAAATCTAGGCATGGAAAACACTAGTTTAAGGTGGCAGAATTTTCAGCCAAACACCTAGAATTTTGTCCCTTAGAATCACTGGGGACATTAGGGTGTGTCCTTTTGGTTTTACCTTTCCCTTCATCCCTCCCTCCTTTCTCTTCATCTCTTATTTCTTTTGTCCTTTCCCCTGTTCCCCTCCCACCACCAGGAGGTGTGTGTGTGTGTGTGTCCTGGGGGGGGGTGCTCTGTAGCTCCCATTGTGGGATATCCACCCAAAAATGTGGGACTGAGATAGTGCTCAGAAAGTGATCCCCACTGGTGACCGAGGCCATCCTTTGGGCTCTCTGGTGAGAACCTGCAGCCTCCCACCCCTCTACCCTGATTGGCAGAGCAGGGGGTTATTTACAGGGAGGAGACTCAGGTCCTTGTTGGTCTCTTTTAAGACCAAGTAAATGTAACCCTTCTGCCTGTCAGAGGTGGCAGCAACAAGGTCCGGGTTCAATATCTAGGGGATCCATTCCAATAACACAATGCAAATCGGCTCGAGCCCCCACCCAGTGACCTGGGACAAGTATATACCACCCCCGCTGGGCGCCTCCAAGAGGCAATACTTCCCCTCTCGCAAGCACCTAGCCTGAGTGTAGCAAAAAGTCTTTTAATAACAGAGAGAAAGAATGTGGCATTATGTTGCGGAAACACCACCAACAGGATTCATAAGACAACCCATGAGCAAAAAACCCACCCCAAGCAAATTTGGGCATGCCCTTTCCCTTGGGTTCTTGAGTCCAGCAACCCCAAATCACCCAAAGTCCCAAAAGTCCAATGACCCAAAAGTCTCTGTCCCTGGTCAGGGCAGCCCCAGAGTTCAAAAGTTTATCTGCAGAGCTTTACCTCCCAACCTGGGTGGAGATGGGGGCGGGGGTAAAAGGCACCTTACATGATCTGAAGCTGACTGCCCCACAGCTCCATAGGCCTTCGCTCCTCTCTGCTCCACTCCACCAGCCACCCCACGCACTGCTTTGCTCAGCTTCGCTCCACGGCCCACAAGCAGCTCCCGCCGTCCCACGAACTGCTCCGCGTCCCACCAGCAGCTCCCACCGTCCTATGAACTGCTCCACCAGCCTGTCCACAAGGCACTCCAGCTGTCCCGCAAACTTCTCCACAATATATCTTCAGGCTCCCCCACTACTTAACACAACGCTCAGTGATTTCAGCTTTTAGTCAGTTCAGCTCTTTGGTGAATTCAGCTTGTAGTAGGGGAGCCTCAGTACTGGTGCACTATTAACCTAAAGTGAGCTCAGCTGCCTGTAACTAGACTCCTAATGAAATCAAAACTAGCTCTGACATTCTACAGTGGAGAGAGGAGGAAGTGCAATTAGCATGTAAGGCCCTCACCAAGAGACCCATACCACCAAGTATTAATACTTGTCTCCAAACCTCTTTCAATTCACAGAGTTTTGGAACCCATGACCCTTGCCTAGCGAGTGCTACTTAGTTGATGGTGAGTCCCTCCATCATAACAAAAGGCCAAGTACAGTTCCAAGCACAGTTCCCATAATCAGGGTAATAACAATTTATTCTTCCTGCCCCAATAACAGAGACACTGGGGATACCATAGCAGCCAAAGTGACCATTTGGGCAGCTATTCTAGGCGGGGTGGGTGTGCCTATGCAAATGACCTCGGCCCCTGAAGTTCTTTTCCACAACTTGCCACACCTCACCACCAGATGTCAGGGCGGAGCTCATCCTGACACTGCTTACATAAATAAGTCATAACCAGTCATGGTTGACAAATTTTGCTGCTTCTCTGCATTAATTGCCTCTGAGCAGTTCATGATTCTCTCTAACATTCTAGTTCTCCTTAAATACTTTCTGAATAATTACTATGAACTGTGGTTGGTCATTTGAGAGCACTTTATTCAGGTCATTCAACGTATGAAATTCAAGGTCCAAAGGTCAGTTTGAAAGTCGGGGCTCTTGGGTCCTATTCCCAACTGAGGTCACACAGCCAGTCTGTGGCAAAGACAAGTCAATTCTCCTTTCTCAACCTTAGCTTCTCCCTCTTTCAAGTAGGGATAACAATCCGCTCCTGCCTAACTCACGGTGGGGGGAAGATGGGGATCCATTGGAGCATGTCACTCAGAGCAGTGCATAGTATGAGGTGTCCTATCACGTTTACTCAGATCAGATTATGACCTAATCGAAGAGCTGAAATATTCCATTTTATTTGTATTTTATTATATTGAAATTGATAAGAGCAGCAGGATCCAGGAAGCTGTGTAAAGTGCTGGGATGTCAGGAGCTGGGAGACGCAGTTCCCCCCCCACCCTCCAGCACTGGGTCAGTGTTCTGCACCCCCTACTGCTGGCTGAGTTACTCCGTCCCTTGGTAATAAGACAGATTCTTCTTTTCACAGCCAGTCGATCGCCCAGTGTCATCACCCTGCCTGGTGTCTCGGCAGAGTAATTCCTCAGGTCACCACAGTTTCCAGCCTGCCTTGGGCTTGGAGAATGAGGAGGTGGGAGAGCAACAGCTTGCAACCGTGAACATCCACCATGCATCGCTTTATCACCTAGAGCAAGTGAGTGGCATTAGGGTTCCTCTGTGGCATCCCCCGTCTGTCTGGGGAGAGGCAGAAAGAGGGTGAGAGAATCTCTCCGAAAGGAGATCGGATTTGCAAAGCAACCCCAGGAGTCCCTTGCTTTCAGTCAGGGGAGGGGCTTCTCCAGAGCCATCTCCAGTGTGTTTGGAAAGGTCCCAGCAGTGGGGCTCCCAGCTCTTCCCTTGTGGGAGACTGTTCCCAAGGCTGAGAGTCTCTGAACTGGGCTAGACCCTGTGAGCTGCTGAGCATGGAAATCAATGGGAAACAAGGAGACCCAGGGCTTGCTATGCCTCGGGACTTTGACGTGGGGAATGGTTTCCCAGGAGAAGTCTGGACTCCTGGATTCTGTTCCTTCTCTAGCCTGGAGCAGGAGTGTGGCTTGGGACAGCAGGAGGGAGCTGCTTGTCCAAAGTGACAGGTGGTCTTTGTGACTGACCCCAGTGCTGGAAAAGGAGGAGACTCCCCGGGTATTGCTGCACCAGGGATGACGAGGGGGAACGTTGGGAGCAGATGATGCAATGACCTCCTGGCAGTGTGTGTAGATTGCACTCCCTGCACCCCTGTGTGGGGAGGAGGAGCTGCTCTGTCAGGGACAGGGATGGGGAGGGACCAAACAGGACAGTTAGTGAGAGGCTGCCTTGGGCCCAGACTCACGGCTGCTCCTCGCTCGGTTCCATTCTGGCCAGGCTCCTGAGGATGTTGAGGAAGAAGGCTCTGCAGGTGGCCTCAGAGCCTGAGGGAAGCAGCTGCCATCTTCCGCAGGAACAGAGCGGTCCCTTTGTCCCCTCTGGCGGGGAAGGAGTTCCCGGCTGAGCCAGGAGGTGGAAGCGCCCAGCCTTCTGGAGGAGGAAACCTGCTCCGGATGCAGGTGCTGAGGTGGGAAGGGCACCAGCTAGGCTGATATGGAGCTCTCCCAGGATGTGTCTGGGCAGGCAGGATTCAGCTGAGGAGGGGAGCCGGGCAGGGTGGCTCTGGGACTTGTGTGGGAAGCACGGGCCCCAGAATCCCAGCCCTGATTCCCAGCAGGAGGCATCGCCCTGCCCCAGTCACTGAGGACCTTCCAGCCTCCCGAAGGCAGGAGGTGGAGGAACCCTGTCCAAGCACCAGCAGCTCGGCCCGCTCCCCATGGGACTAGAGCAGTGCCGGGGACTGAGGCAGCAGCCAGGCCGAGGTGCGCCGCTGCTTTGTTCCAGGTGAGGAACCAGGCTGGGCTCAGGGAGGGTTGAGGAGGGGGCGGTGAACACCCTGGGCCCAGGCACTCGACCAGTGCTGTGGGGACAGGTCCCCAGCACAGCTGTCTGGCTTGAGCCACATGAACGCCACTGATACTAGATGCTGCCACTTTGGTCCTTGATGCTCCAGGTGGGGGCGGGTGAGTCCAGGACACTGTGAAGGAGGGAGGGTCTCTTTGCTATGGGCTCCTGAAGGAGTTGGGGGCTGAAGGCATCACTGAGAGGGGGAAGTGTGGGTCCTGATCTGCCCTGGGTCCCGCAGGTGGGAACGGGGCACATTGCCCCACCATGCCCCTGTCCTTGCCCCGCGTGGCAGCAGGAGTCACCCTGTCCCCTTCTCTTCCTGGTGCAGGGACCTCCAGGGACTCAGAGGACGAGGAGGAGGTAGCCGTGGACATGGCTATGAGGAGGCTGCTCTCAGGAACATCCGAGAGCAGTTCCAAGGCTGAGAAAAGGTAGAAACCTTTCCCAGCTGTGCTGGAACTGAGATTGTCCTTCCCCTTCCCAGCACCCTGACCCCCTGCAGAGGGTCTTGCCTCTGATGATCCACCAGCTCTAACAGGGACTTTTCTCCACTATGATCTGGGACCCCCAAAATAGGGGTGTTTGTCACAGACCAGACAGAGTCTCCTCCCCCAACATGCACTTTCCCAGTTCCTGACCCTGTTTGTGTAGGAGGTGTGGGTGATTTGGACAATGGCCGGGTCCCCACTATCCCCTATTCAGGCCTGAGTCCCGCAGCTGGTGTGGGTGGGGCAGGGAGGTCCCTGGCTCACTGGCTCTCTCTCCCCTAACCCCACTCCTGGTGGGTGCAGGACAAGGCCCAGCAGCTCATGTTCCTGGATGCCATCCACCCCGCGTGATTCGCTACACGGAAGAGAGCACAGGACACATGGGAGTCGCACTGCTGCAAGGCGGCTGTGGTGGAGAGGACTGTGGTGAGCGAGACACAGCGCCCAGCCGGTGGAGGGAGGACAGAGGCATGGGAGGGGAAGGGGTCCTTTTCTCACTGTGCTGTGCGGCGCAGGTTCTGGGTACTAAGGCTCTGAAGAAGATCTCAAGGAGGAATTTTTAAAATAATTTTTATCAGTGATTTGAGAGCAAACATACAATCCCTGCTGAGAAGACTGTTGGGTGACAAAATACACTGGTGGGTGACTGGTGGGTGGCAAACTGGACCCATTCAAAGCAAAGAAATTTGACCAGAGCCAAATTCAAGGTCCTATAGCTAGCAACAGGGCACGCTGGTCACACCTGCAGAATGGGGAAGTATATCCAGGAAAGCAGTGACTCTGAAAGGGTTGGGCCATAGTGGAGAAGCCTGTCATCATGAGCTCCCAGTGTGATTCTGTTGTGAAGAGAGCTAAAGCCATCATTAGACGTAGGAGCAGAGCGGTGAGTAGGATAGGGTGGTGACAGAGCATCAGTGAGACTGAGATTGGAATACGGCATCAGGTTTTGGTGTCCTCATTTGAAAAAGATGTTGAGACATTGGAGCTGGGGCATCGAAGAGCCACCAAATGTTCTGAGGGCTGGAGAAAAATGCCTTCTAGTGAGCTACTGAAGTGTTGAAGTGCCTTAATGGAGAGAAAATATTGGGTATGAAGGGGCTCGTTAATCAAGCAGAGCAAGGCATCACAAGACCCAATGGCTGGAAGGTGAAAAGAGAGAAATTCATATTTCAAATAAGGAACAAATATTCAACAGTGAGGATGATTCACCACAGGAACTAGCTACCAAGGAAAGTGGTGGATTCTCCATCTCTTGATGTCATTTAATGAAGACTAGATGCCTTTCTGGAATGTGTTTGCCCCGACAGGAGCTATTGTGGTCTACAGGAGGCCTGTGATATGCAGGGGGTCAGATGAGATACTGTAATGGCCTCTTCTGGCCATACAGTCTCCTAATTTCTGAAAAACTGAGTGTAGCATTGGGAGCAGCCTCTGATGTTTTACTGTCTAGCCGGCTTCCTTCCTGGAATGAACCCTCATTGAGTGGGATGATCCACGGGGTACGAGTAGCTCAAACCTCCAAAGTGTCTGGCCAGCAGCAGGACATTAGCTGTGGAGGGGAGGGGTGGGTGTGGCAGTGAGATCACAAAGGCCTTTTGCAGGAGCTCAGCCTATTGGTCAAAGGTGATGGGGAGGTGGTGACCTCACAGAGAGATGCTGACATCAGCCAGGCAGGACAGGGGTGCAGGGCCAGGGGAACGTCAAGAGATCGCTGTGGCTTTGCTTCAGCAAGTCTCCTTCTCGAGGTCTCTCTTTGAGGACTGAGAGAGTATTAGGGTTCACGTACGTGAGCACGAGGAGGAACCTCTTTGGAGTTTTCTCCTTTCCTTCTACAGGGAATTACAGATTTTACGAGAAAACAGACGTCCCTGTTGAGAAGGTAAGAGCCTCTGAGAGGTTTGGAACCTGTTCCATCTGATCCATCTGGTGCCAAGTGAATTCTAGGCATGGAAAACCCTAGTTTAAGGTTGCAGAATTTTATTCCCCACCTAGGATTTTGTCCCTTAGCATCACTGGGGACAATAGGGTTTGTCCTTATGGTGGTTTTACCTTTTCCTCCATCCCTCCCTCCTTTCGCTTCATCTCTTACTTCTTTTGTCCTTACCTCTGTTCCCCATCCCACCACCAGGAGAGGGGGGTGTGTGTTTGTGTCCCCCGGGGGTGCTCTGCAGCTTCCATTGTGGGATGTCCACCCAAAAATGTGGGTCTGAAATAGTGCTCGGAAAGTGATCCCCACTGGTGACCGGGGCCATCCTTTGGGCTCTCTGGTGAGAACCTGCAGCCTCCTGCCCATCAGCCTTTACCCCGATTGACTGAGGTGGACCTTGACTTGCGGAATGTTTTCCTAGGAGAAGTCTGGACTCCTGGATTCTGTTCCTTCTCTAGCCTGGGTTGGGAGTGTGGCCTGGGATGGCAGGAGGCAGCTGCTTGTCCAAAGTGACCAATGGTCTTTGTGACTGACCCCAGTGCTGGAAAAGGAGGAGACTCCCCGGGTATTGCTGCACCAAGGATGACGAGGGGGAACGTTGGGAGCAGATGATGTAATGAACTCCTGGCAGTGTGTGTAGATTGCACTCCCTGCACCCCTGTGTCTAGCTGACTTGCTTCCCAGAATCAACCCTCATTGAGTCTGGCCAGCAGCAGGACATTAGCTGTGGAGGGGAGGGGTGGGTGTGGCAGTGAGATCACAAAGGCCTTTTGCAGGAGCTCAGCCTGTTGGTCAAAGGTGATGGGGAGGTGGTGACCTCACAGAGGGAAGCTGATATCATCCAGACAGGACAGGGGCACAGGGCCAGGGAAACGTCAAGAGATCCCCGTGGCTTTGCTTCAGCAAGATTCCTACTCAAGGTCTCTCTCTGAGGACTGAGAGAGTATTAGGGTTTACGTTCGTGAGCGTGAGGAGGAATCCCCTTGGAGTTTCCTCCTTTCCTTTTACAGATTTTACGAGAAAACAGATGTTCCTGTTGAGAAGGTAAGAGCCTCTGAGAGGTTTGGAACCTGTTCAGTCTGATCCATCTGGTGCCAGCTGAAATCTAGGCATGGAAAACCCTATTTTAAGGTGGCAGAATTTTATTCCCCACCTAGGATTTTGTCCCTTAGAATCACTGGGGAGATTAGGGTGTGTCCTTTTGGTTTTACCTTTTCCTCCATTCCTCCCTCCTTTCCCTTCGTCTCTTACTTCTTTTGTCCTTACCCCTGTTCCCCATCCCACTACCTGGAGAGGGATGTGTGTATGTGTGTGTCCAGGGGTGCTGTGCAGTTCCCATTGTGGGATGTCCCCCAAAAATGTGGGCTGAAATAGTGCTCGAACAGTGATCCCCATTGGTGACTGGGGCCATTCTTTGTGCTCTCTGGTGAGAACCCGCAGCCTCCCGCCCCTCTCCCCTGATTGGCTGAGCAGGGGATTATTAACAGGGAGTTGACTCAGGTCCTTGTTGGTCTCTTCTAAGACCTAAATAAGACCTATCCAATCATATGGTTGACAAATTTTGCTGCTTCTCTGCATTAATTGTCTCTGAGCAGTTCATGATTCTCTCTAACATTCCAGTTCTTCTAAAAAACTTTGTGAATAATTACTTTGAACTGTGGTTGTTCATTTGAGAACACTTTATTCAGGTCTCAGAGTAACAGCCGAGTTAGTCTGACTTCATCGGATGCTGTAACTCACGAAAACTTATGCTCAAGTAAATTGGTTAGTCTCTAAGGTGCCACAAGTACTCCTTTTCTTTATTCAGGTCATTCAATGTATGAAATTCAAGATGCGATGGTTAGTCTGAAAGTCTGGGCTCTTGGGTCCTATTCCCAACTCTGCCACTGACTGGCTGTGTGACCTAAGACAAGTCAATTCTCCTTTCTCAGTCTTTGCTTCTCCCTCTTTCAAGTAGGGATAAGAATCCGCTCCTACCTACCTCACGGTGCGGGGAGGATGGGGATCCATTGGAGAGTATCACTTGGAGCAGGAGATAATAAGAGGTGTCCTATCACGTTTACTCAGATCAGATTATGACCTAATCGAAGAGCTGAAATATTCTATTTGATTTGTATTTTATTATTTTGAAATTGTTAAGAGCAGCAGGCTCCAGGAAGGTGTGTAAAGTGCTGGGATGTCAGGATCTGGGAGGCGCTGTCTCCCCTGCACTAGGGCAGTGTTCTGCACCCCCTGCTGCGTGCTGAGTTACTCCGTCCCTTGGCAATAAGACAGACTCTTTCTTCACAGTCAGTCGATCACCCAGTGTCACCAACCTGCCTGCTGGCTCGGAAGGGTAATTCCTCAGGTCACCACCCTTTCCAGGCTGCCTTGGGCTTGGAGAATGAGGAGGTGAGAGAGCAACAGCAGGCAAGCCTGAACATCCACCATGCATCGCTTTATCACCTAGAGCAAGTGAGTGGCATTAGGGTTCCTCTGTGGCATCCCGCGTCCGTCTGGGGAGAGGCAGAAAGAGGGGGAGAGAATCTCTCCGAAAGGAGATCGGATTTGCAAAGCGACCCCAGGAGTCCCTCGCTTTCAGTCAGGGGAGGGGCTTCTCCAGAGCCATCTCCAGTGTGTTTGGAAAGTTCCCAGCAAGGGGGCTCCCAGTCCTTCCCTTGTGGGAGACTGTTCCGAAGGCTGAGAGTCTCTGAACTGGGCTAGACCCTGTGAGCTGCTGAGCATGAAATCAGTGGGAAACAAGGAGACCCTGGGCTTGCTATGTCTAGGGACTTTGACGTGGGGAATGGTTTCCCAGGAGAAATCTGGACTCCTGGATTCTGTTCCTTCTGTAGCCTGGAGGGGGAGTATGGCCTGGATTGGAAGAGGGACCTGCTTGTCCAAAGTGACAGGTGCTCTTTGTGACTGACCCCAGTGCTGGAAAAGGAGGAGACTCTCCGGGTATTGCTGCACCAGGGATGACGAGGGGGAACGCTGGGAGCAGATGATGCAATGAACTCCTGGCAGTGTGTGTAGATTGCACTCCCTGCACCCCTGTGTGGGGAGGAGGAGCTGCTCTGTCAGGGACAGGGATGGGGAGGGACCAAACAGGGCGGTTAGTGAGAGGCTGCCTTGGGCCCAGACTCACGGCTGCTCCTCGCTCGGTTCCATTTTGGCCAGGCTCCTGAGGATGTTGAGAAAGAAGGCTCTGCAGGTGGCCTCAGAGCCTGAGGGAAGCAGCTGCCATCTTCCCCAGGAGCAGAGGAGTCCCTTTGTCCCCTCTGGCGGGGAAGGAGTTCCCGGCCGAGCCAGGAGGTGGAAGCGCCCAGCCTTCTGGTGGAGGAAACCTGCTCCCAGCGCAGGCACCGAGGTGGGAGAGGCACCAGCCAGGCCGAAATGGAGCTGTCCCAGGATGCGGCTGGGCAGGCAAGACCCAAACCAGGAGGGGAGCCAGGGAGGGTGGCCCTGGGGCTTGTTGTGTGGGAAGCACGGGCCCCAGCATCCCAGCCCTGATTCCCAGGAGGAGGCATTGCCCTGCCCAGTCACTGAGGACCTTCCAGCCTCCCGAAGGCAGGAGGTGGAGGAACCCTGTCCAAGCACCAGCAGCTCGGCCCGCTCCCCATGGGACAGCAGCAGCGCCGGGGCCTGAGGCAGCAGCCAGGCCGAGGTGCGCCGCTGCTTTGTTCCAGGTGAGGAACCAGGCTGGGCTCAGGGAGGGGTGAGGAGGGGGCTGTGAACACCCTGGGCCCAGGCACTCGACCAGTGCTGTGGGGACAGGTCCCCAGCCCAGGTGTCTGGCTTGAGCCACATGAACCCCACTGATACTAGATGCTTCCACTTTGGTCCTTGATGCTCCAGGTGGGGGCAGGTGAGTCCAGGACACTGTGGGGGAGGGAGTGTCTCTTTGCTCTGGTCTCCTGAAGGAGTTGGGGGCTGAAGGCATCACTGAGAGTGGGAAGTGTGGGTCCTGAAGTGCCCTGGGTCCCGCAGGAGGGAAGGGAGCACATTACCCCACCATGCCCCTGTTCTTTCCCCGCGTGGCAACAGGAGTCACCTTGTCCCCTTCTCTCCCTGGTGCAGGGACCTCCAGGGACTCAGAGGACGAGGAGGAGGTAGCCGTGGACATGGCCATGAGGAGGCTGCTCTCAGGAACATCCGAGAGCAGTTCCAAGTCCGAGAAAAGGTAGAAACCTTTCCCAGCTGTGCTGGAACTGAGATTGTCCTACCTCTTCCCAGCACCCTGACCCCCTGCAGAGGGTCTTGTCTCTGATGATCCACCAGCTCTAACAGGGACTTTTCTCCACTATGATCGTGGACCCCCAAATTAGAGGTGTTTGTCACAGACCAGCCAGGGTCTCCTCCCCCAGCATGCACTGTCCCAGTTCCTGACCTTGTTTGTGTCGGAGTTGTGGTTGATTTGGACAATGGCCGGGTCCCCACTATCCCCCGTTCAGGCCTGAGTCCTGCAGCTGGTGTGGGTGGGGCAGGGAGGTCCCTGGCTCACTGGCTCTCTCTCCCCTAACCCCACTCCTGGTGGGTGCAGGACAAGGCCCAGCAGCTCATATTCTTGGATGCCATCCACCCCGCGTGATTCGCTACACGGAAGAGAGCACAGGACACATTGGAGTCCCACTGCTGCAAGGCGGCTGTGGTGGAGAGGACTGTGGTGAGCGAGACACAGCGCCCAGCCGGTGGAGGGAGGACAGAGGCATGGGAGGGGAAGGGGTCCTTTTCTCACTGTGCTGTGGGGCGCAGGTTCTGGGTACTACGGCTCTGAAGAAGCTCTCAAGGAGTAATTTTTAAAATAATTTTTATCAGTGATTTGAGAGCAAACATACAATCCCTGCTGAGAAGACTGGTGGGTGACAAAATACACTGGTGGGTGACTGGTGGGTGGCAAACTGGACCCATTCAAAGCAAAGAAATTTGACCAGAGCCAAATGCAAGGTCCTATAACTAGCAACAGGGCATGCCGGTCATACCTCCAGAATGGGGAAGTATATCCAGGAAAGCAGTGACCCTGAAAGGGTTTTCGGGGCCATAGTGGAGAAGCCTGTCATCATGAGCTCCCAGTGTGATTCTGTTGTGAAGAGAGCTAAAGCCATCATTAGACGTAGGAGCAGAGCGGTGAGTAGGATAGGGTGGTGACAGAGCATCAGTGAGACTGAGATTGGAATACGGCATCAGGTTTTGGTGTCCTCATTTGAAAAAGATGTTGAGACATTGGAGCTGGGGCATCGAAGAGCCACCAAATGTTCTGAGGGCTGGAGAAAAATGCCTTCTAGTGAGCTACTGAAGTGTTGAAGTGCCTTAATGGAGAGAAAATATTGGGTATGAAGGGGCTCGTTAATCAAGCAGAGCAAGGCATCACAAGACCCAATGGCTGGAAGGTGAAAAGAGAGAAATTCATATTTCAAATAAGGAACAAATATTCAACAGCGAGGATGATTCACCACAGGAATTAGCCACCAAGGAAAGTGGTGGATTCTCCATCTCTTGATGTCGTTTAATGAAGACTAGATGCCTACCTGGAATGTGTTTGCCCCGACAGGAGCTATTGTGGTCTACAGGAGGCCTGTGATATGCAGGGGGTCAGATGAGATGCTCTAATGGCCTCTTCTGACCATACAGTCTCCTAATTTCTGAAAAACTGAGTGTAGCATTGGGAGCAGCCTCTGATGTTTTACTGTCTAGCCGGCTTCCTTCCTGGAATGAACCCTCATTGATTGGGATGATCCACAGGGTACTAGTAGCTGAAACCTCCAAAGTGTCTGGCCATAAGCAGGACATTAGCTGTGCAGGGGAGGGGTGGGTGTGGCAGAGAGATCACAAAGGCCTTTTGCAGGAGCTCAGCCTGTTGGTCAAAGGTGATGGGGAGGTGGTGACCTCACAGAGAGATGCTAACATCAGCCAGGCAGGACAGGGGTGCAGGTCCAGGGGAACGTCAAGAGATCCCCTGTGGCTTTGCTTCAGCAAGTCTCCTTCTCGAGGTCTCTCTTTGAGGACTGAGAGAGTATTAGGATTCACGTATGTGAGCACGAGGAGGAACCTCTTTGAAGTTTTCTCTTTTCCTTTTACTGATTTTACTAGAAAACATACGTCCCTGTTGAGAAGGTAAGAGCCTATGAGAGGTTTGGAACCTGTTCCATTTGATCCATCTGGTGCCAGCTGAAATCTAGGCATGGAAAACACTAGTTTAAGATGGCAGAATTTTCAGCCAAACACCTAGGATTTTGTCCCTTAGAATCACTGGGGACAATAGGGTTTGTCCTTATGGTGGTTTTACCTTTCCCTCCATCCCTCTCTCCTTTCTCTTCACCTCTTACTTCTTTTGTCCTTTCCCCTGTTCCCTTCCCACCACCAGGAGAGGGGTGTGTGTGTTTGTGTGTGTCCTGGGGGGTGCTCTGCAGCTGCCATTGTGGGATGTCCACCCAAAAATGTGGGACTGAAATAGTGCTCGGAGAGTGATTCCCACCGGTGACCGGGGCCATCCTTTGTGCTATCTGGTAAGAACCTGCAACCTCCCACCCCTCTACCCTGATTGGCTGAGCAGGGGGTTACTGACAGGGAGTTGACTCAGGTCCTTGTTGGTCTCTTTTAAGACCAAGGAAATAAGTCATAACCAGTCATATGGTTGACAAATTTTGCTGCTTCTCTGCTTTAATTGTCTCTGAGCAGTTCATGATTCTCTCTGACATTCTAGTTCTCCAAAAATACTTTCTGAATAATTATTATGAACTGTGGTTGGTCATTTGAGAGCACTTTATTCAGGTCATTCAATGTATGAAATTCCAGGTCCGAAGGTTAGTTTGAAAGTCGGGGCTCTTGGGTCCTATTCCCAACTGTGGTCACACAGCCAGTCTGTGGCAAAGACAAGTCAATTCTCCTTTCTCAGCCTTAGCTTCTCTCTCTTTCAAGTAGGGATAACAATCCGCTCCTACCTAACTCACGGTGGGGGGAAGATGGGGATCCACTGGAGCGAATCACTCGGAGCAGTGCATAGTATGAGGTGTCCTATCACGTTTACTCAGATCAGATTATGACCTAATCGAAGAGCTGAAATATTCTATTTGATTTGTATTTTATTATTTTGAAACTGATAAGAGCAGCAGGCTCCAGGAAGGTGTGTAAAGTGCTGGGATGTCAGGAGCTGAGAGGCACAGTTTCCCCCACCCCCCTGCACTAGGGCAGTGTTCTGCACCCCCTGCTGCTGGCTGAGTTACTCCGTCCCTTTGCAATAAGACAGATTCTTGTTTTCACAGCCAGTCGATTGCCCAGTGTCATCACCCTGCCTGGTGTCTCGGCAGGGTAATTCCTCAGGTCACCACCCTTTCCAGCCTGCCTTGAGCTTGGAGAATGAGGAGGAGGGCAAGCGAAAGCTGGCCACCCTGAACATCTGCCATCCATCTCTCCATCACCCAGAGCAAGTGAGTGGCATTAGGGTTCCTCTGTGGCATCCCCTGTCTGTCTGGGGAGAGGAAGAAAGAGGGGTGAGAATCTCTCCGAAAGGAGATCGGATTTGCGAACCGACCCCAGGAGTCCTTCGCTCTCAGTCCAGGGAGGGGCTTCTCCAGATCTGTCTCCAGTGAGTTTGGAAAGATCCCAGCAATGCGGCTCCCAGCCCTTCCCTTGTGGGAGACTGTTCCCCAGGCCGAGAGTCTCTGAGCTGGGCCAGACCCTGTGACCTTCTGAGCATGGAAATCAATGGGAAACAAGGGGACCCAGGGCTTGTTATGGCTAGGAACTTTGACGTGGGAAACGGTTTCCCAGGAGAAGTCTGGACTCCTGGATTCTGTTCCTTCTGGAGCCCGGACAGGGAGTGTGGCCTGGGACGGCAGGAGGGAGCTGCTCATCCAAAGTGACAGGTGGGTCTCCCGGGCTAATGGATGGGGGATGGCTGGTGCTGGAGGGGCAGCTGAGGGCAGGGATTGCTGGGGCTGAAGATTGGGGAGAAGAGATGGGAGAAATTCTGAGATTGGTCACTACTGCGTAGGAATCGGAGGAGCAGGAGGCAGGTGGGGGGACCTGCGGGCTGTGTGGGGTGCTGGCTGTGTTATCTCCTCACTGAGAAGCGTCAGTCAGGCCCAAATCTCACGCTCCTATGTCTCGTTTGGGTCTCACAGGAGCTCATTGAGGAGGTGCCTGATATCTCTCCACCCAGTGCCATCCTCGCTAACTCCCTGATTGCTGTGGGCAACCTCAGGTACCGAGACCCTCCCCGGTTCCCCGAATCCTGGTGCTGCTGAGGCCCCCGGGTGGGAGTCACTGCCCCTCCCACTCCCCGCTCACCTCCCAAGGGTGACTCCTGTGGCAGAGGTGCTGGGAAGGTTCACACTCTCCTGGCTGGGCCGTTCTTTTCCTCCAGTTACTTTGCAGTGGCTTTGGGGAGAGGCTCACTCCCAGGATCAGATAGAGGAGGGGGCAGCAGGGTCCAGGGAACAGGCTCTATTCCTACCCTGCCACTGTCTGTCTGGGAAACCTTGGCCTTGTCATTCCCTGGCTCGGTGCCTCCAGTTTCCATTCTCGCCAGTCTGGGCCTATTTCCCTGCAGCTTCACGTCCGAGTTGGTACCAGTGCCGCCTCCGCACTGCACGGTCTAATCACCAGCTCCTCTCTCCTGCCAGCACCACGACAGCTGCCCTGGAGCCAGAGCTAGAGACCCACCTCCTTCGAGCTGCCCCGCATGCCATCTTCACCCTGGGCATGGAGAAGGACACCACCCACCTCCAGGTAGATCATGCTTAAGTCATGGATCGAAGGGCCTGCAGTCATCCTGCCATGAATCCTGGCTAATTGCCTGCAGTGGGATGTGAATGAGGGAGGCCAGGATATGTGTTTGTGGGGGTCTCACCAGCGCTTCCCAGAGACCCTTCTTCCCATCCTGTGGCAGGTGTAGCCCCAGTTTCCCTAGCTCTGAGCCATGGCTCTCCCTTGCTTTGCAGGATCTGCATAGGGTCTTGCGTAGGGCCAGGGAAGGTCAAGAGAACCCTGTGGCTTTGCTTCAGCAAGTCTCCTTCTCGTGGTCTTCCTTTGAGGACTGAGAGAGTATTAGAGATGGCGTGCGTGAGCACGAGGAGGAACCTCTTTGGAGTTTTCACCTTTCCTTTTACTGATTTTACGAGAAAACAGACATCCCTGTTGAGAAGGTAAGAGCCTCTGAGAGGTTTAGCAAAAGAAGAGGAGTACTTGTGGCACCTTAGAGACTAACCAATTTATTTGAGCATGAGCTTTCGTGAGCTACAGGTGAAGTGAGCTGTAGCTCACGAAAGCTCATGCTCAAATAAATTGGTTAGTCTCTAAGGTGCCACAAGTACTCCCTTTTTCTTTTGCGAATAGAGACTAACAATGCTGTTACTCTGAAATCTGAGAGGTTTGG